CTCGCGTGCACGGGAGCAGGGCTTGTTCGGGCACGTCATGCGCACGTCACCTCTTGGTCGGATGCCGGAGAGGGTGGGAAAGAGATTTAGCTTGCGAAGGCTACGCGGCGGAGCGGCAAGGGTTTTGAGATCGCCCCCTCTCACCCTCATTTCACGCCGCTTCAAAAAACCTGTTCTCTCCGCTCGTAATGAACCGATTCGAAACATTTTTGTGGCAAAACGTTCCCCATCGGACACCCAACAACTTCCACTGTCTAACTAAAATTCGGTATGGGGCCTGGTGGGTGGCCCTTTAACACGAAAGTGTTTTTGGCGTTGTTTACCACGGCTGACATAATTCTGTCACGGATTTGAGAAAAAAAAACGAGAGGGAAACGTTCTGTAGCGCGGCGTTGACCAGTGACCTCTCAGTCAGCAGCGTGTGACACAAGACACTAAGCCAAGCAAACATTGTCCAGCTTGCTCACAGCAAGTCATTTATATACTCCATATACCGTTGGCGGTATTCAGAGCTCCTGAAATTCAACGCGTTTTCGTCATCGGTAGCGAGAGGGCGCAATGGTTTCACGTTGGGCGCTTCTCGCGTTTATAAGAGCTCGCGCCTCCGAGGGGAAAGGTCTCTCCTGTGCCTGCGCTTTTCAGACAAGACTCGTGAATCAGCAGAGAAATAAGGTCGCTTCGCTCGCTTCCGTGGCAGCGTTTACGGAAGGAGCACGCTGCTCACATACGATGAAGTAAAAATTGTGACAGTTGTTTGTGGAGTGGTTCTTAAGAAAGAGAAAGGAAGAGAAAAGTGAGCCCCGTTATTGTCTGCTTCAGTGAGCGACACCGCCACAGGGCTCACAAGGGATGTGGGTGAGGAGGGATAAAAAGGGTAGAAGTAAAGGTGTGGAAAAGAGGAAGAAGAAGCAACAACAAACTGTGGGGATAGGAGAGACAGGAAAGATGGAAGCACGGTCACTGGAGTCCGAGGACGGGGTACACTTGAGAGAGATGTTGTCGGCGTCGGTAGATGGCGTAGAGCAGGTCCAGTAGGTCAGAGCTGCACTGTCGTCGAAGGTCGTCGGCGACTGGAGGTGACGTAGGGCGAGCCCAGTCGGCCAGAGCTACCTTGACGCCGAAGGTCGCGAAGCGCGCGGCGCGCGCGGGCGCACACCAGTCGGCACGTGATTCCAGCGAGCGACTCCGTCAGTTGTTTGTGCTTGTCCTGTGTATACTTGTGCGTTGGTTTCAAGCGTCTTTGTTTCTGTTTCAGCAGAGTGCTTTAAGTGTTGAACTATACAGTTGTTTGTCCGCACTCGTGGTGTGTAACCTGATTTTGTGTGTTATTTTCTGTATGATGTGCGCCCTGTTAGCTTCGAGCTGCTTGCCATTTTTCTCGAAAAATTGCAATTCATTGCTGTAGCATTCGTTATTTTGTCCTTGTGACGAAATAATGCAAATAAACGGTCATCTACCTCGATGAAGAAACGTTTCGCTTTCCTCTTAAATGATTCCTTGAAAGAAGGATAAGCATGTTTGTTTTTAGTTATGATGTCATTAAAAACCGTTTGTTGCCGGGTTCACTCCACTATCTTCCTGTCTCTTAGACTTAGATGTGTCATTATCTTTCGTTTTGCCTGCTCCTTTATTCTCAATTTAAGTTGAACACTTTATGTAGACCTCCATGTTCGTGTTCTGTAGGTCAGTATTGATAAGCTACAACTGTTAAATGTCTTCCTCTTCAGGATAGAAGTAAAATTTTTGCCGGATGTGTTCCACCCCATCCTTCTTTGTCTACTTAATTCACTCCCATTTTTTGGTTCTACGATTGCCCCCTTTCCTAAGTAGACGTACTCCTTTACAAGTTTCAATGCCTCACTACCTATCGCAAAGTACCAATCGCTTTTAAGATGAAAGTGAAAGTAATATTCAACAGCAACAGCCTCCCGAGACTTTTGATTATTACTTCAGTTATTTATATTGATTTTCCGACGTAATCTGCTTTTTCGTCCAAACGATTGCGGAAGCAGGGCGTTGACGTAGAATGCGTAAGCATACTGGAAGAAATCTACCATAAATCCACAGCCAACATAGTCCTTCATGACAAAAGCAACAGAATCCAGATTCAGAAGCGGGTAGAGCGCGGGGATACGATCTCTCCAGCGCAATTCACCGCATGTTTCCCGAAGAGGTAGCGATAAGTATTTATAGATAGAGATTCCATGAACCCGTGATTCGCTTATGACAATGCTATGGGGCGTAACTCAGGGGAGGAATAACGACCCATGATATCTCATTTGTAACCCAAGGGGTATGCTCCCTTTGCGGCCAAATGCTGGTGCTCTCAGTAGCGGTGCCAGAAGACAAGCGAGACGCTCGCTTGTTGCTTTTAATAAAGCGACAAGCGAATAATAATAATACTAATACTAATAATATTACTTACTACTACTAATAATAATAATTTATAAGGTCCCAAAGCTACAATATTGTTATGAGGGATGCCACCAAGGGTTCTTCAACGTGGGCCTAAATCCAAGTCCACGGGCCTCAAACTTTTCCGCCTCTATTAAAAATGCCGCTGGCGTGGTCGGGATTCGATCCCGCGATCTGCGGGTCAGTAGCCGAGAGTTTTTGCCGCTATTTCAATACATATTTGGAATACTATCATGAGTGAAATCTTTAACGATGAAACGAAATTCCAGCTGTTATAAAATCTTTGCATTTATTGTTCAATTTTTCCTTTGTTGTGTTTCCCAGAAAGGCAGCTTGAAAACGACACCAAATCAGTTTCTGTACATTGATGTGTTTCTTCCAACGGGTGAGCATTTTGTTAAGATATCTGTATTTTTAAATTTTTATGAACGTACGCCATCTGGAGAAGTTGATAAAACGGTTAGAGACACAGATTCACAGATTACTAGAGGGGCGTAGTTTGAGGCCGTTGCCGTAACTTAGGCAATGCATGATTGCAGCTACCGTGTTCTAATATAGATATGTTCACAGTGGGCCGTTATGACCAAAGCTGAATTGATATATATATATATATATATATATATATATATATATATATATATATATATATATATATATATATATATATATATATATATATATATATATATATATATTCGCTGCCTAGAGCCGTTGACTCAGTTGAGTGCGTCTGTCAACCGCTCTAAGCAGTGAAGTAAACTGAAAGCAGACGGAACTGAATTCCAGGTGTCCGGCAACTTAATAGACAGTCACAAGGCCTAACTGCTGGGTTACTTCAATGGCTTATAGTACAGCGGACAGCTCGCCGGAACCTGGCTCACTTTTATCGTTGTGCCGATACTAAGGAACGAAAGCTGGCCTCGGCACCTCTCGTCGTAAACGTCTTTATCCCTTGCATTTTCCACATGCATGTTGAAGGAGCTCGGAAATGGTCCTAGTTCACCTCGCGTGGGCTATCAAAACCCTGTGCTACTTCCACGGACGTTCAACCTTGATCGAACGATCTTACTGTTCATGACTTCAGCTCGGTAACACCCAAGACTCTGCGTGCCGTAGTGTCCATTTATACAGATCTTGAAGAAGTGCGGTAATGCTCGATATGAATCACCATCTGGTTCAGTTGTCTGGTCACCCGTAACGTGGTCACTATCTAGATCATCTTCGGCCTTCGAAGATTAGGCCTAGCTGTCTCTATCTTCGGCTTCTGCTAAGTGGCACCGAACCAAGCTGGCTATGTGGGGCTTGAGAACTGTAGTGTAGCCCGTGGACGTTTTGTCAGGAAGGCGAAGTGCTGATGGTGCACACGGAACTATTGTGACTATGGCTGGTGCGAATTAGAAAAGATTCCTTCAGTTGCCGCAAAAATCCATGGCCAACGCATGGCACTTCCATGCCACTGGATCCAGATCTGGGCGCCTGCTCCTTTTGGCAGGAGTGCGGCGCTGGCTTCAGCCTTCTTTATTTGGTGCTCCACAAAAATTTCTCCGCTTTCTCTTCTTGGGATTCTCACACCGACTTGGGATTCTCACCCCGACTAACATCGCATAGCATGGGCCCTTCTTCGACTAATTCCATACAAGGATGGGGCAGGAGTGTATATCAATGACCACTTTTCTATGCCTCGGACACAATCACGAGCCATCACCAATCTTAGAACTTTTGCCTGTACTCCGGCTCTTTCTTCGTCGCCTAAAGATTGTTTTTTTTATGCACGTGAAACCCTCCCATAGCTCTCTAAAAGTGCTAAACGAGCTGTAAAGTAAATTAAATTTAAAGCCAAAGTTTTTGTAACGTTCTCATCCTTATATAAACTAAATGTACGTATTCAATAAACAGCTCAGTGAAAAATGCGTACTCTTGTAATGCATTTTCAATATTGTTGTTCCCATTTAACTGCACTAGCAGCACGTAAGGTAATGCCAGCATTTACTAAATTTACTGCACTTTTGTATAGAGTTCGCAAAGCCTGTTTCTTAATTATTATGCAGTTCAAGAAAATGTTGTTATATTCTTGACAAGACTAGCAGCTATAGGGCTCTGAATCTGGTAGGTCTGTGATGAGAATGAAATTTTTTTCTAAGCAGGCTTATCGTTCCAAATTGTGCTTATGACCAAATGAACCATTTTTCTACAGAGAATACAACACTAAACTGCCGGCAGGGGAAAAAGAATAATAAGCTTGAAAGAGAAGCAGAACTTCGAGACACTGCGGCAAAATTTTACATTTCGCACCCCATGTGTGCACTTCATATGCTCACATAGGCGGATGTATTGTTATATAGTCGGCGAAAAGGAATACGTAAGAGACGATAGGCCACATGTGTGAGAGAGCAAGCATTCTTTAAAGGGCGAAATAACAGGAAGGCTTTTACAGCAGCCCTCCAAAAGCCTACATAGCGGAACACCAATACAATGACGAAAAATATATCGCTATGAAAAAAAAAACAGAAAAAGAGAACAGGCCTGCAAGATGGTAAGTTATGGCAACGCAACGCAAGGACAAAGGAAATGAATTGATGCTGTCCTCTCTCCTCTGCCTACACGGCGACGCAAAACGAGCGTGCAGTTTACCAATTATCGAAATATCATTATTCTAAAATCAGAAGTAATCAACTACTTCTCGTCCCGGTGAAGTATTATTAGCCACAAATACTCAACATGAGAAGAAATGCCACCATGAATGTTCTGTTCGCTGTTATCCTGATGGTCTGCCAGATATCTCCTCTAGGTAAGTTTGCAACATGTTGGAGTATGATACACTACTGGTTTGAGAGCTGAACGGCTATTGTTATAAGTTTCATTCATTCAAGATGCGCGCACAGGCGCTAAAATCATGTGCGAAAGTGATCGCATGTTTAAGAGTGAGGAGATTCCATGGGGGAAGACAAGCTAGGTAGAAATTTTGATGCACGTTTGCGTTACAACAACAAGCTTCAATAGGACGTCGTCATTCTTTTATTTTTCGCGAGTTGTTTTTCCGTTGCTCTATTTTACTTTAGAGCAGACTATCACAAGGTATCTATTTAGTTTTGTCATGACACGTCATAGGCGAACACTTCTCGCTAAGTATAGCTGAAACACCCTCAATCATAAAATTACCAGTTTTACTGGCTTAGGGCTGGGGGGGGGGGAGGTGGAGTGGTCCAAGCCTCTCGTCTCCTTATCAGGAGCTTGACTACACTAACTGCAAGGTGAAGGACCCTTCCATGCTCCTCCAAATAACTAGGCCATCTGCTCGCTGCTGCCACTTTGCACCAGGAAATTCACTATTATTTTATTTTTCAAACCTTTTAAAAATAGCTCTCGAGTAGCCAACCAAAATTTTTTATATTTGTATACAAGGCACAAGTTTAATCAAATCAAGTCAAAATGAGTTTATTAAGTGGTGTATACAAAAGATGTGTCCATAATAGTTGGACCAATAGCCTACGTGGCTAGTTGCTGGTTCAAAACAGAAAATACATAAAAGTTAGTAATGCACATGATTGGTCATGAAAATGGTTGATCTTGCAAATTTCTTCGATTTACAAACTACCTGTGAAAGGTGATTAGAAATCACTAGACAAGAAAAAGCATTTGCACGAAGGTTGAAGTGACACATAGTTTTTATTGATAGCGGCACAGTGTTCCAGGTTTGAGTCATTCCCAATAAACATTGTTGCAGGGAGAAGTATTTAAATTCAATTGACTTGTTTGTCTGGTGTTTGCATGCAGGAAGTTGAATATGGTGTTGGGTATTGGAACGTTCTTGTACCGAAAGCACATGCTTCAAGGCATGCAAAAAAAAAAAACTTACGAATTGGAGTACCACTGTAGCCAACGTATCAACAAGTGATGTTAAGGCATGAGGACTTCCACACTCAACTAACTCCCTTGAAGAAGACGGAACTACTTACAGAAACGTTCACTACAGCGACACCCTCAATACTAGAATATCTCTTCTCATCACAATTTACATGCAATATATACACGCACGCATACAAACACAAGCACGTACATATGTAAACTAATATCAACCCCCCCCCCCTCAAAAAAGGTATGGCTACTTACACGTGCCGTTTTAAGGAGGCAGCAAGAGTATATTTTTTTCGGTCTTTTACTTGCTGTATCGTACAAAGCATTGATAAAGCTTGAACATGTAGCACGGGGTCAACAAAAAGTCTTGTACGCGCGTTAGAATTCCTGTAGCTTAGAGCGCTAGGGAGTGGTAAACTGAATACCAAGACAGAATTGAGATAGGGGGCAAGAATTTACATAATTTAAATACACGGATGGTGCCGCGCACCTAATGTCGACCCCGTGTGTAAGTCGTGACAAAGGTTTCTGTATGGTGAGCTGCCATTGAAGACTTACGAGGTTTTTCCCATTCTTACATGCGTCACAATCAAGTGCACAGCATTATTCATCAAAGTAGAAACAAAGACAGGGGAGAAATTCTATGCTTTGTTCAAGTTTACGTTTACCTTGAACGCGTGTTGGCAACTTCATGGCAACATTTGTATGACTTGAAAAAAGTTATCCCTATGGACAGCGGACACTCCTCAGTAAGTAAACATTGAAATCCTCCATTACTCTGAGAGTTCTGTCGGTGAATTCACTGGGTGTACGCGATGCTTAAAGCTACCTTTGCAATCTTGCGATATACTGTGGTACTTCACTACATATCCTGAAGACTGACACGAGTAAGATACGAGCAAGTCTATTCCGTAAAGCAGTAACTTAATACGGAGATTCTGAGTGCTGGTGTAGACGAGGACAAAGAGTAAGAGACGCACTGGTACTCGCAAACACCAGCACTAAATGTGCTTTTCCAATATGCCCCAGCAATCCCACAATGCAACGCCTAAATTACGTGATTTATCACGAAGGCGGTACTTCTGAAGCTCTGTTGACCTCACTTATCATTTGCCAATACACCTTCCTTACGATTGTAATAACAAGTGACCTTTTCCCCTAAACCATATCAATCGGGTTTAATCAAGGAGATATAGGCAAAAGTTGGCAAGGGATTGGTGCTCACTCAGGCTCATCCAAGAAACATATTTTTTTCAAGTGCAGATTCACCAAGAGTTTAGTAATCTCAGCTCACTCGGAATGAGACTCACTAAGGTTTTTTACTACGAAAGCGGTGTAAGGCTAGCAGAAACAAAAATCCATTCGGCATTGGTGTTATGAGTGGCCTCCATTAGTCGTGTTACCAGTTACGTCGTTCCCAAGCGCATGCTTCATTTGCTGCGTTGTGGTTGACGTCGTCGCAGCCGTGGCGCTGAGCCCGCGCGGAACAACTTCTCCTGAGACCTCCCTGCCAAGTTGGCTCGTGACGTCTGAGGCTCGCAACAACGTGGCGTTACGGCGCCAATGTAGTGCGGTCGCCAAGGTGAACGGTGCTTTCGGCTAGAGTTTCTCCAGTGGCGCACTGGTTTCGACCACGACATCTGTGTCCGCCTGTGGTTCGGAAACAACCATGGCGATTAACACATTGCGAAACGGCTTTAACCACTCATTACATGACCTCCGGGACAGGTGCGCCCGTCGCACACTTTGATAACTTGCAGACGGCCCTCATGTTTCACACCGTAAAGCACCTCGATGCGTTTTATACGCCTACGCTGCGCGCATCGGGGCACTGCCTCCAGAATCCAATTAACCAATTTTCTCGCGCAAAACATCAAATATACACTTTCTTCACTCTCTCTAGAGGCAAAAATATCGTCCTTCGACGACATTTGCAGAGAAACGTCCAGGTACGGGGGGAAATATTTTAAATATAGGTCTCTTTTTTTTGCGCTGTGTTAATGGCCCAATCGTGAACCAGAAAGCATCCGAGCTTTCTCTGCTAGTTCTCCCTTACTTTATTTCTTCTTCACACTTTCTCTCTCAAAATCCGCATTTGTTAACTCGATCCCCAACCAGAGTTATTGCATATCTCGGCGGAAAGCTTGACTCATGTGTTTCGGGGAAGAAGATGAAGACGATGACGATGAAGCAGAAGATGAAGAGAGGGCACGCCGGTTTATAATGACACATCTTTCCGGTTGGAAACAAACTTATCACGGGTATCTAAACAGCTCTGCTTATAAAAATACATTACGTGCTGTAATACCGACTATCAGCATGTCGACTAAATGTCCATAAAAATCGGGGCACCAGCTAAGCTAGTTAAATCAAGCAATGCTTTTTAGCAAATTCGGATTGGTTACTGTTACGATACTAACGTAAAAAATACATTGGTTTTCCCAAATACAGATTTAAGTAGTATACCAGTGACCTTACACTAAGTATATGAGGTCGTAAACCCCCGGGGTGTGATGTTGTAATTAGCGCTTTTATTGACAAAAAATGAAGGATTTGTGCTTTACTATCACAAAACCAAACAACAGTGTTAATTTTATTCTGTTAGGTTATTGGGTCATCTCGTAAATATGCAGTCACTCTTCCAAGGCACTGCCGACACAGTTGCTTTTGTCTGAGTAAGTGTGGAACTAGTCAAAAGCTTCTTCCAAAACCACAATCATTGCCGTGTACTTCCGCAGGCTTGTATTGAAGGGAACAACAATTTATTTAAGATATCTTCCTTTAGCCTTCAAAGAGATTGAAGCAATTTCAAGTGGTAAATACATTCTCAAATATAGACTAAGCACCCCTTTCAGTGCGGTTCATTGGCATGGATTAAGGCAGGACAATGTATGTGTTCATGATTGTGATAGTGTCAGGCCACGTTTCGTACATTCAAAGCGATCAATGGTTTCGCCTAGAAAATTTATTGGTTTCTTCTAGTAAGGCTCCCCAGTGCATTTACTAAGGCACTAAATTTAGAAAACAGACGTAGCAATCATGTTTTTTTTTACAGTTTCCATTCTGTGGCCCCCAAGATGTTACAGGAAAGTGGATGTGGGAACATGCGACGCAGTTAAGCTGAGGTGGTTCTATGAACCCATAACAAGGCAATGCAAGATGTTCGCATACAGTGGATGTGGGGGAAACTTGAATCGATTTCGTACAGAAAAAGGGTGCCTGCGGACGTGTCAAAGTAAGTCCAACTTTTTCAACTCATTGTCTACTCAAGTAATGTACCTAAAAAGACATAGGCCATTCAGGCCTGGTGATTTCGATAGGAATAACCAAACTTGTAGGAGACTTAGCACCTCCTGGTAGAAAAAAAAGTATCTTTTTCTACTAAAAGAAAGCATCTTTTTCTACAACACCTATTTACCATCTACTCTGCCTATTCTGCCACCCTCGTCAACTCAATGAAAGTATTGTAGTGAAAGAAGAAACTAGAGAAACTCTCGCACTATTCCTACTGATGAAGCATTCTATAAATCTCGTACTCCTACTTTTGTGCCAAGGAAGTGCTTATTTTGATATGAAATCACGTTTTAATGGTTCGAATCACTTGAATACCCTCCAAATCACCCTTGTGAAAGCAGCCTCTCAGACGTCTATGTTGCCGTGCCTTAACTTGCTCGCCTTTACTACTCGGCCACCGGCACTAATAGCAGCAGAGCGATAGTAGGGGGAGCCAGAGTAGCAACAATGATTATCGAACAATTTTCTACAATCTCGGAGGCCTTGATTCTGCTTCCTTGGTTTAACTGGGTCCCGCTATATGACACCAGCTGTTCAGTCTAATCAGCCGAAAACTAAGCTTTTGAACCATTTGCGCCGTTTTTCATAGTAATGCCAGGCACTTCATATTTCTATAAATGAAACAGAAACGGCCAATAAGCATTTTACTACGTCTCTTGATGCACGCAAACGTCTTACTTTCTTGCACCTAGTTTGATTAGGAGTGAAAAACTGTAGCCAGATGCTCTCACGTTATTGGGGTCATTTCGCAAATGTCCCCCTCATGCCGCACGTCGTGTGGTACATTCAGCTTAATTTCTTGGTAAGTAAGAGACATTGCTTTGATAATACTGCTGTGCAAGAAATTTTCGGGCATTGAGCTTTCACTCTCATATATATTGTCATTTGCATTTAGTGCTCCTTTAACGGGCACTGATATTGCACACTTCCTCATGGCTTCTATCATTTTTCACCTCCATAAAAATGCAACCACAACGGCCAGGGTTGAATCAGTGGCCTACGGGTCAGTAGCTGAACATTCTAGCTACGGATTCAACGAGAAGGCCCACGTACGCATAGGTTTAACATCTACTCAAATTGGTGTGGTATGGCTTAAGCCGAAGCAGGGGTGCATTCGGTGTGCACGCAAGACCAAACTTCTTTCTGCCGTACCTATACTACAATATCATCCGTTATAATAGAAAACATTGCACAACAACTGGTAGAATACGGCAATGAATTATGGTTAGGTTTTGAGTGAAGATTGCAGTACCCGTTTCACTGTTTGCCATCACCACGTTTGAATTTGAATCCTATGGACTCTGCGCATAGGCGTCAGATATTCTTGGTATGATTTTATTTCAGTGACATCTCAACCCGAACTGTCCTGCAGCGCCAAACCAAACCCGGGTAATTGCAAAGCCTACCGCCCGATGTGGTATTTCGACGCTGAAGTGGGCTACTGTCGCGGCTTCGTCTACGGCGGCTGTGGCGGAAATAGAAACACCTACCCGAATTGCCTGGCTTGCATGAGCCGGTGCACAAGTAAGCTTCCTCTAACGCTAAGGAAAAAATTTACTCCAGAATGATGTTTGTTGTAGCATTCCTATGAAACCAGAAGCGCATTATATTGCTTATAGAAATCACATACAGTATGGGAAGCACAAGGAATCTATAAATGGAGCAATTGGTCGACAAATAGACGCCAGAGTCGACTCAGGCAGACTCAAACTCAATCCAAGCTACAAGTCCAAGTTTGAATGAGCCCGGGTGAGTAATATTTTGGTGAGCTGAAGTCCTACTCAATCCGGATTAGGTAAATCGGGGTGAGTCTCGTTACAAATGAGCCCAAAACTTCTATTTCTTGATTAGGTCTGTGTTAACTGTACCTATCTTAGCGACATAAGGACTATGTCTGCTAAACGTCTGCCTTGCTATCAACATTAAGTCGGCCGAAGTTTATATTCATCTCTACTAACACAAACTTCATTGAACTAGCGTTAGTACCCTCGCTCAATAATGATTTGTTAGATGTATAGGGGCGAGTTATAGGGGGCGAGAATCACACTACTCCACAAACTCTTTGATGGGAATCTATCTAAAAAATCTTGTGTGGGATTTCTTTCCATCAAAAAAGTGACAGTTTTATCAGGAGGGCGTAGCAATGAATGGGACAGCAACATATATACGAAGTCAGGCTGACACCTCACTCATTTAGATACGATCTTGCGGAACTCTCGCGTAGACTGATGAATAAGGTGGAACCGCAAAGATTGTATTTCATGAAAACAACTGTGATTTTACGTCATTTAATTCTACGTGCCTGCAGTTGACATGCACACTACGAAACAATTGAACATGAGTAAAAATGAAATTTTCAATGTGAATTAGGAATGTTCTTTAAGGCATTGTTGTGGTGGAATAGCCTCTCATTATGGAAGACATTTTTACCTACAAAATATTTTGGCACAAGTTAGCGGGGTGTCATAAAATATACACGACGTAGACATAGCACGAAACTAGTGCAAAGATTGACAAAGCACCCATTGTTTTTGAGACTCCAATGTTTACATGCCAGCCATTGCAGTGCCAATAAGCTCTTCTGTCTTTTCTACGAGCTCATAAAGCACCATTCACGGCAAAACCTTATGACATCTTGCCCCGGTGTTAAAGCCCATGAACGTATGCGAATAATACAACATTGTTAGCCTAATTGTAGAACTAGAGTACAGGCCGGGAAGCAGATAGTTTTCATCGTTTGAGTAGCTGAGCTAAGTGGGTGATCTCGTTGGAACTAGGAAAGCAGATTTATTTAGGTGAGCTGCTAGTTACCGAAAGTAGACCGCAATTTCATGGTGGAAAGACTTAGACTGTGTCTATAGGTAATTGTCAGCAACGCTTCTATTGAGAAGGCCGGAAACAGGAGATCACGAGTGGTTATTTGAAACTCTGCCAAAAAAACCAGCATATATTTTGCAGCTTGACATAAGAACAAAATCTAAAAAAATACCGAATGACACTATGATAAGCATTTGAAAAGCTAAATACACGCCAGAGACATCAACGTTGACGATATACGCATTCGATCGCGGGACTTCACATCAGCTTAATTAGTTCGTAAAATGCTTTGACCGCAATATCGTTCTGTCTGCTCATGCAACAGCTTGTGCCGCAACGCGCACGAAGAAGAAATGGTAGTTGCAATAGAATGTGCGCTCCATGAATCACTGCACTCGTTTTGTACCATGTGTATGTGATGTTGTATACCATTTCTTCTTAACTTGACGCAAGAGATATAATGGCCAAACTGCTGCCTGCCTTAACAGGAGCCTACGCCTGCACAGAGTAATAAAGAGCCCGTCCACTTCATATTTCTAATTTCTTTACCACTAGTATAATTGTAAACCTTCGCTAAGTACCACGCGTGTCGGCTTCAAATACGTTTGAGTTTGAGTTTGAATTTGAGTCTATTCAACGTGACAAGTACACAAAAATACACTGTCTACGTGGTTTGGTGCGAAGGGAAAAAAGCTGCATTTCACGTGGATCAAAGATCACTTGAAATCATGTAGATCTTCTCATTGAAAATCAGCAATATTTTTGCCTTTCTACCTCATTTATTCAGCTTGGCGATTATGAAATCAGCCCTGAAGAAAAATGTGAAAAAATTGTTATATGAGAATTTGCGCATAGTCATAGATAGTATTGTCATACATTCATTTCTGCGCAAATAACCTTACAGCTCAGAACCTGTCGTACATCGCTTGCGTGTCGTACGACCGTCGTCCTGCGCTTCTTTTTTCATGATTATCAACAAACCAGTCCAGTTTTGTATGCGATTAAAGCTCACTGTTCAAAATCATTGGAAGGTGACTCACTCTTCGCATTCCATCCAGAAGTATTCACTGCGTTGTCGAAGGGCAGGTGTTCGTTTCGATCTCTGAACTTTGGAAGAACCTAGTCTCCTACAATACGTATCACGTGTTTGCTAAACGTTCTATTTTAGTTGTCTCCTTTTATAATAAGCTACGTCATACCTACATTTACCTATATTAAACCAACCTGTATTTATCGCAGATTACAATCCCTATCTGATGTGCCAGTACCTTGAGTATGAGTTCTTCAAAAAGTTCATCGCGGGCAAGCTCATAGTTCCTCCACCACAAGTTTCCACGGGGGCGACCTCACAGTTCCCACCGGCGGGACCGGGAACAACGATGGCACAGCCAATGTCGCCAATAATGGTGGCACGACCGACGTCGATGAACGCGGTAGCACAACCATCCCCTGCCACACAGCCGGCATCAGTGAATGGGAACGCACCGGTGTGGAGGGCTGCTGAGCCATCTGGCGTAAGATCAGCCCTGCGCGTTGAAGACACGCTTTTTGTCAAGGGTTCCAGATAGCAAGATTGTTTTTAAGAGACTGAAATAAATAATAGCGGGTCAAGAAACCTTTGAAGGCAAGTACTCTTATCAGTGCTTTTAGTTGTGCATGAGTGCAACGAAGGTTTATAATCTCAAGGCAATGTGACAGTAGCGTAAAAAATACTGTCACCCGGTCATGGAATGAACTGTACGTTCTCGAAGGGCTTTTGCATACCAGCAGCCGCCAAGGCACTGCGACAGAAAAGGTGAGATTTTTTGTGTAGACATTCTGAACATCAATAGATCATGTTGAGAAGATAGGGCGTGTAAACATAAACAGGGGATTCCAGTTACCACGTATATAGCCGATTACAACTGCAGAGACACACAACAGTGGAAAAGAAGGAAGGAATGAAATCTTATCTGTTGTTGCCCGTGCGATAGAGGAACCTATCAATCCACCAAGCCTTGGGGTCTATGCGAAAGATAACTATTGACACACCTGATTCGTTCTTCACGTAGGTTAGTCGCTAGCCGGCTTGTGCATGCACCACTACTATTATCGATATGCAACGCGTCAATCATTAAAAGCAATCATTTCTTGCATCAGTTGAGAACGGCACATCCATCGAATTTAAGCGTGCCCTTAGCTTTACACAATTTTACACAAAGCAGAATAGAACTGCTGCACAAAACTGGAACTAATAAATGAAAAAAGGTGAGCACACGTCGAAATGTTTCACCACCATTAGCGATTGTTCATTTGCGTAACAATGCGTTTTTGGTGGACCACAATACCTCAGGCAGCTGGCTATAAGGAAACGTCACCATCGGTGCTTCATTTGCAGTAAAACGTATAGACGCAAAAGGTAGAAATTAGGCAACCATATATGTCTTCTCGCATTGTGAACCCATCGTGATCCGTCAATCCAATGTCGGTGTATAAATTATGTGATGTATGTGGTGCCTAATGTAAGTACTCATCAGCCAAACAAGCCGTGCGTACTGTTAAAGAAATGTGTGGCTGATTTTTTCAATACAAAGCAAAAGGTGAGGACTAATTAAACAGCAGTCATGTTCTTCCCTCGTATGACGTGTTGTTGGTTCTATTTATTCGCACTTGTGGAGTTTACAGGTACACAATGTAAGCAGCGAAGAAGACGCAATGCAAATGGATACCACAGCTGTTTACTATCAACTCTTCATGTGTATCTTTATGAACTCTACATTATATTTTCAGATAGTTATTCTCTGCTTGATGGGCTCAGGCAGTATCACTTGATGTAATCAATTTAATGCTGTGTATGTTTACACAACAGCCATTGATAAGTAGAATATCTTTCTGGCCACATGCAAGCAGAGCTACACTATAAGTATACCTTTTTCACGTTTTGCCGTATTTTTTGCCTGCGTGAAAAAGATGCCATGCATAAGCATTTTGAACAAAACAACTCTATACTAGAGCATACAGGCCCAAAACTTTACGGTTGCATGACGCGCAGAAATATTCAATGCAAAGAAAAGGTGTTACCATATCCTTTATGTAGTCGCACCTATAAGATGAAAGCAATCACAGGAATCTCCTTTGCCGCTATGTGCAGAAAGCTTTGTTGCTGTCAAAAGACAATATACAACAAAGGAAGCGTAAAAATAAAATAGGCATCTCCCTGTTTGTAAACAGTGTGACGTCACTGTGGGCACCCCGCTCACCATAAACTTTCTCGGAGCAGCTGCTGGTTGGCAAGAAAGTTCAGCAGGCGGCATCTTTCTGCATAGCAGAGCTGTGTGTCAGCATACCTCCGACAGAAAGAGAGATAGAGAGAAATAAAGATGCAAAGAAAGGCAGGGAGGTTAACCAGACACACTTCTGGTTTGCTACCCTGCACTGAGGAAGGGATGAAGGGGAGATAAGAGGTTGCAGAGAGATAAGAAAGATACGCACAATCACGAGCACACTCGGGAGAGCACACACAGTCTACAGGCGGTCGCTCAGGTTTGTTGTCTTGAAATAATGTAGAAATGCTTTAGTCACTTTCTGCGCTATTGAGGCAGACGCCAAAGGTCCCAGAATCTTCTGCTCATAGAATGGTCTAGAGTACAGTTGGTTCAAAACCATCCGGAGCTGGCATCGCTGTGCATCGTAGCAAGCGCAGCTGCACTTGACGTGTTCGCTGGTCTCTTCAGTTTCACAGGAGTCGCATGTAGAGGTGTCTGCCATACCGATGCGAAAGGAGTACACCTTTGTAAATGCAACACCCAACCAAAGGCGGCATAACAGTGTCGCATCGGAGCGGGAAAGTTGTGATGGTAGCTTTAGCTTGAGCGAAGAATCCAGTTCATAAAATTGACACCTTTGGAAGCTGGTAGACGACCAGAACGTGCGTGTGAGATCTCGAGCCAGCAGGTAAAGTTGTCTTGCTGCATCATTCCTTGATAGAGGAATCGGGACTACACAGGTTCGTTCATGGTCTGAGTGGGCTGCATCATCGGCTAATTGATTTCCAGTAATACCGATATGTCCAGGCAGCAATTGATATATAATTTCATGCCCTCATGCTAGAGCTCCATGGTGGCATTGTCTTATTTCATTTACCAATTGTTAATGAATCCTCTTATGCATGACAAAACTTCAAACTCTGAAGTGCTGCCTTCAAATCGCAGAATATGACCCATTTTCCTGACCACTCTTGAACGAGATATTGTAAAGCGACTCTTATAGCTGCAAGCTCTGGTGCCGTAGACGTAGTCGTATGCGACAACTTAAATTTGATTGTCATAGCCGCAGCCAAAATTACAGCGGCACCTGATGAGTTGCTGGACGAGACCAACCAATCAGTGTATATCTGCGTTCGGTACAAATACAACTCATATAATAACAGCAGTGCTGCTTGCTTCAAAGCTACTCTTGAGTGATTGCTTTTGTTTTTGATACCCGGAATTTCTAGGCGTACCTGCGGCTTGTCGAGGCACCACAAGGGACGCGTAATTCTCGTAGCTGGCGTATATCCTGATTGAATGCTGTTTAGGTGTTTGTTTATGACGTCTGAAAACGTAGCACTTCGTCTTTCGGTGGGTAGAAGGGCCAAGTGGTGGTCGGGGACACGGCTAGCATGTCTAATGTGTGCTCTGAAGGAATCCACAACTCTACGTGTCCTGACCGCATGGTCCTTGGCAAGCGCGATTGTGGCATAGTTAGGAGTGCACCAGGGCAGTCCTTGGCAGATACGCTGTGCCTGACTCTGCAAACTCTCCAAAGAATGGGTATTGTATTTGCAAGTGTTCGTCAGTGCGGGCAAACTGTATCGCAATAGACCCAGAAATAGGGCCCTGTACAACTGTAGCATAGAGGCCACAGAAAATCCCCTCGCTTTCCCGCACATGAATTTCATTATATGTACAAATGATAGCAGTTTCTTCTTCAAGTACGCACAATGCTGACTCCACGAAAGACTTCTGTCAATTATTATGCCCAAGAAACTATGCGTGCGCGTATATTTGAGACTCTGCCCGTTGATCTAAACAGGGTATGGCGTCATTAGTTTGCGTGTAACTGCAATCAACGCGCACTTCACAGTCTGGCCTTGTTTCCGAAGGTACGCTGTTGTGAGGGTTGCTGCCCGCTGTATTCGCGCGCGCACCTGAGGGCGAGTAACTGCAGCACTCCAGAGGCAAACATCATCACCATATATGAGTAGACACACCGATTTCGGCAGAAACTTCGTCAGAAAAATGAGGGCAACATTGAACAAGGTGGGGCTTAAAACTCCTCCCTGAGGTACTCCGCAGTAGATGTAATGTTCAGTCGTATTACCCTAATCTGTTTGGACAAAAAAACTCCTGCTAGTTATAAAGACTTTTATCCATTGAAACATTCGTCTACCAATGCCTATTGCTGCGAGAGAAGAGAGGATGGCATCGTGAGCTACATTATCATATGTACCATTCACGTCAAGAAAGAGTGTCTTTGATATACGCTTGTGACTTTTCCTTGCTAAACAAATGTCGATAAGTCAAGGACACAGTCGATGGAGGAGCGGCCCTGACGGAAGCCTGTCATGCATGAAGGGTAGTTGGTGTTTCGTTCCAAGAACCACTCGAGCCGAAATAGAACCATTCTTTCCATCATTTTTCCAAGGCAGCTTGCGAGGGCAATATGGCGATACGCTGTCAAGCCCAATGGTGATTTCCCTGATTTCAGAAGTGGTATTAATCGACTTATTTTCTATTCTCGGGGAACACTGCCGCTGAGCCAGGAGTTGTTGAAGCATGTTAAAAGTTCTTTTCTGGCTTTTCGTCCAAGGTGTCCCAACGCACTATAAGTAATACCATCAAGACCTGGCGATGACGTGCGCTTAGAAGCGACTAACGCACCTTCCAGTTCTTCCATGGTGAATGGAATATTCATTTCTGGTAATCAAGCTTCAGGAACGATCACGGCGCCGATGCTCTCGTTCATAAAATTCTCGGCAACTCTCGTGCTAAATTCTTGAGCTACCTCGAGTTCTGTTTTTCCATGATGGAGTGCCAAAGCTTTAATAAAGTGCCGTTGTTGCGGAGAGGAGTGAAGACCATGAACTGTTCTCCATATATATGACAGTGATTTATGAGGATCTAGAGATTCACAGAATGTTTCCCAGCGTTTGCTCTCCAGCTTGTTAATGCGCCGTTGAATCTTTTTCTGGAGCCGCCTTGCTTTCCTCAGGTCGTAAATTGATTTTGTTTGTCTGTATCGTCATTCAGCACGCCTTCGTATAGTTCTTCATCTTTCCAGTTCAATGTCGAACTGTGTTATTTTAGACGAGAATGATAATTTACATTTGGTCGCTTGCATAGCTTCCGCGATGGTATTTTCCAGGCTGCGGGCAAGGCCTTCTTGACAAGAGTCTTCAACACGCGATGTAAACATAGACCAGTCAGTGCCAATTACGACACCGGAAGAGAAAGTTTTTCTTAGTTCATCGACCTTCGCGTAGGTGGGTATGTGA